CAGCACGGACCACCTACACATCCACGAAAACTTTCACAGCCAAATAAACCTTTATATTATAAATTTCCCTACGAAAATGTGATATTTTTCTTAAATTCTATGCATGTATTGTGCAGTTTAAATGTCATGAAGGAATTTTCAATTTCATAGACCAAACTACAAATTCACATAAGGAATAACTCCATCGATAAAAACTTCGAATTTGATTGCTTTAGTGAAATCCCACACGAACCAATGGTATAACCACAAAAAGAACATGCTTTGAGCAATACATTTCACGTGAGCTAATGCCGAAGAATCTATTATGTTAACTAGTGAATACATCAGTATTAAGTTTCCAGAGATTTTAGGTAAGTTAATCTGTGAAATTTAGTACTATGTTACCTTCGCCAGAGGGGAAAGCTAAGTTGGGCAGAATTTAAATCTAGGAAATATATTGGGGTACCGCATTGGAGCCTCTGAGGGCAAGTTATAATAGATGAATGGTGAAGGCAAATATAGATTCCGTTTCTTGTTTATAACCTTTGTAGTTATGAATACTATCGCACAAGTTGCATTATATAAATGCAATATCAAAGAGGTAAACACAGATACATCGATCTACGATATTAGAATATTATCTACAGCTTTCGTAGTACATGATGGTAACTACATCATGAATGGTATTTTCATACCAATGTATTATGAAAACGCATGAACAAAGTTGTGTCTAGTTGTAAACTAGTGGAAATTGATCAGCATTTATGTTTAAATACACTATTTCCGCATTTAAAACTCTCACTGATAATCGCATTTGAAAACACGCTATCTTTGCATCGTCACCACAAACTCGTGTGCAAGATCGCGCCAGTCAACGAAAATGTAACAGATTTTGATACATCAAATGCAACTCCAACAAATATAAGAAACCAGCAAAGCTATAGAAAAGTATTTATTCTATTAATTATTAATATTATTTATGCTAAATAAGCATTTCATGACATGAAGTTAACCGTCATGGTCAACTCTAAAGGTCATTACTTTTCATTAAAATCGGTTAAAATTAATATAATTGAAAGGAATATTAATAACAGTTGAATTAATATATCGACAATTGCAAGCAAAAAATAAAGCTTGTTACTTTCCCCATTCATCTATAGACTTCTCCACCCCATAGCATTTTTACACCTCACGTCATTTCGGAGAGCTTTGTACTAAAATAAACTCAGGAACTGGGATAATTTTGCATCGCAATCAATCATACAAACATTCGGCAATTTATTGTCCAAATTAATTTATTTATTAATGTCATTCTCGCATTCTCTCTCATTATAATTATTCATTCTCGCCTAAGATTTTTGAATCCCATCTAAACTTACCATTTGTTTTTCTCCATCACCGTTTCTTTCCCTTCCCGTTCCCTTTCTTTATGTTCCTCCTCAGTTCCTTGAAATCTGCGCGACTCAGGTTTTCCGCTTCTGCCGTCTTTAGAACTGAGTGCATGGTACAGCTTCGTAAGAAAGGATGCAGGAAATCCGCTAAGGACGAGATGGTCTCTCTGCGGGTCCAGCCCCTCCAAAACGGCCGGGTCGAGGGTGGCGGGGTGCTCCAGGGTGCGGGGGAGGTCGAGGTGGGAGTCTCCCGGGGCGGGCAGTGCCGCACCCATCGCTGCCCCCCCGCGCACCAGGGCGCTCAGCAGGGCGCCGTCCACGTCCCCTCGCACGGAGCGCCACGAGGGTTCTAGGTCACGCAAGGGCACCCAACGACCCTGCACAGGCACACACGCTCTATGAGGCATTTCCCAGGGCTAGGCATCGTCACACTCATGCTACTCATTTCATTCACTAGGACGCCGTCCACATCCCCTCGCACGGAGCGCCACGAGGGCTCCAGGGCACGCAAGAGACCCGGACGACCCTGCACAGACACACACGCAGGCCGCGAGCGATAACTAAGCTGTAGAGAGCATTTTTGTGCATTGTATAATGACCTAGCTGTGATATTGTGATTTCTTCTGGCTTATAGGATAGGTAGGCTATCTGGCACACCTAGGCTCTTGGGTGAGAATTTGCATGGATTTGATTTGGAAAGTGACATATGCCTGCTCGAAATAAACAGTTTACCTTTTCGTATTTTTGATTCGTTTCCTAGAACACAACACCAGCACTTCTGCGATCAAAGTTGTATGATATCCCGTGTAGCTGCGGCTACAGTTACATCAC